AGTAGAGAGTTAAGAGAGAAATTCTCTTAAGTGTAATTGGGAACTCTCCCCTTCCTTTGTTAAAAATAAAAAGGCAACTGTTCTCTGGTGGACGTAGAATTATTTTGATCCAAACCACATTAAATCTTGTATTCTTTCTTTTACGTTTCCGCTAACATGAACATATAAGTTTTCATTCAAAAACTATAAATTCAAATTTGTAACCAATAAAGAGATTCTATTTCGTTGAACTTTATCTTATTGTTTGAAATTATCTGAAAAGAAAATTAAATGACCATTCGTGTGAATTGTAGTTAGTTGTTTTATTTTATTTTAATTTTTTAACACATTGAATAGCCACAGAGATTTTAGAAAATATCCGCCAACAAACTACTATGTAGTACTATTTTCTTATGAAAAACAAAGTGTAAGTAGACTATGGGATTACAAGATGATACGAGGATCACGCTAGCCATTCATCGAAGTACATAGTTACTTCTTAATTTATGATGATTTACAAGTGATGATGTTGCGCATTGATGAAAAATAGGAAAATACTTGTAAGTTCAACATATGAAAAATTAAATGAAGAGTAAATGTTGATCCAACAAGCTACAACACCACCAACGAAAACTCCTGAAATGAAATGCGAAAACTATAGTAGGATCTGTCAATGTGTGTAATATTATTATTTCTATAACGACTGATTTAGAAAGTCTTAATTGTTTCAACGGATACTAATTACACCTTACAATAATTAAGGGCAACTCAACAGATTTAGTAGCCTATATTAAGGATACTAGTCTCTATGTTTGATTCTCATATTTATGAAAAATAATTACTTAATACTTTTATAAAATTTGCTTAAAAGGTAAAAGAAGTTTGAGCACATATATATTTTATTTTTTAAAATTATAATACTACCAAGTTCTCGTTATTAAATATTCCATGGTATCAGGTATCTCCAAATTTTAAGGCACTTCTATTTGTTTTATCCAAAAATAAAAAATAAACTTATATTTAAAAGCATATCTATTTTATGATTAGTTTTCTTCCATCCATAAAGTTCCTCAAAATCTAAGTCCTATTATAATGAAATTAACAACTAATAAGATCAAGTAATCCCAAAAGTAAGTCCTTTGTTTTAATTTTTTTTTTTCAATGGAATTTGTCTTAGGGAAAGTACTTTATGACAAAACAACAAATTTCAATTCTTTCACAATAAAATTCCAAATTACCAATAAATTGTTAACATAGCAATGATTTACCAAGTTGCTAGACAAAAAAGGATATTTAAAAGCAAACAGAATCTAATTCTTTATAGTAGTTATTAGCATGTACATATAGTTCTTTAACGCAATCCTAAGTTTTTTGAGTACCAAATCAATTTTCAAAAGCAGTTCTTATTTGGGCTTTTTCCGTTGCTTTGATAAAAAAAATTCAACTGCTTAATTTGTTAGCAATATAGTTAATGTAAAAAATATAGAATTCTTACGTATGAAACAGGATATGACTATTGTTGAATTTAGTACATTGCTGATTCACCAAAGTTAAATTAGGTAAGTTTAAATATAACAATTTTATCCGACATTCAATAACAGTTGATCAATATTTTGAGAATAGCTTTGTATATAAATTTTTTAGACTATAAAAATTCAATAATAGATGAAATTGTATATTCTAATAGACAATGAAATTTATGTTTGTCTTGCACTTCATATTTCTTTTTCGAATCAAGCAAGTGCCAATTCTTTGCGGTTCATAATTGTCATCTATGGTATAATTGGTAAAGTTTTGTATATTACTTATCATACCATTGTAGTGTCTATAGCCTTGTGATTTTCAAATTATGTGGAAGCAAAAAAAATCATGGACAGTAAAAGCTCAGAATAGGTCTCTCTTTTTTTATTAACTGCGTTTGAAAATCTATCTCATTCCTTTTGATAGATGATAGTCCTAATTCTTATTTGAAAATACATAATTTATTAGACATATTTTCAGTTGAAACAGGAGTACTTGATTAAAGTGGTTCTTTTTAATAAAATAAAATAAATAGGGTAACAATAACGTGCAATTTGATACAGACTCTGGGATAACTTCCTATTTAATAGAACTCTTTATTGTAATGATAATTATGGCCTTCACCAGTAGAATTAAACTTCAATTGTTCAAGGATATTTTTGTATACCAACATTATTATTCGTGTTTTTATAATAATATAGATAGATAGATATAGATGTATTGCATAACTTATCCTTATCCGTTTAGATATCAAATGCACTAAGGCTCATTCTTAAGATCTTCCGGTCTATGCTGCCTAATGGCGCAACTATCCACCATTTTTTTGCCGACGCCCCATGGATTCTGAAGGAAAATCTACCCAATCTTCCTCACCTTTGATTCCAACTACCAATTCTGCTAATTAATATTAATATTAATATTAAGGCTCAGATAATAAACCCAATCCCCTCATTCACTGTCCCTTCTCAACCAAACACAAGTCCATCTTCTCAGTCATCCTTAATTAATATTACGCCCTCACTTCAAGCCTCCATTAAACTCATGTCATTGAATTATCAAACTTGGTATTCACAATGGCGATCCGTTCTTATTGGATATGGATTCACACAGTTTGTTACAACATAACCATCTACACAGCAAATTCGATCTGACTATTGGTATCGTCAAGATCAATTGTTAAGAAGTGCGATTATTGCTTCTCTTTCTAAAGAAGTTCTTTCACTTGTGAATGCTGCTGAAACTTCATATGATGTATGGACTGCTTTGCATACTATGTATGCTCGTCCCTCTCGATGTCGTATTCTTAGCCTTAAAGAATCTTTGTCTCGGGCAACCAAGGGCTCTCAATCTATGACTTCCTACCTTGAGCATATTAAGCAATTGGTCACACCTCTTAATTCTACTGGTGCAAATTTGACTTTGGATGATGTGACATTACATGCTTTGCAGGGTCTTCCTCCTGAATAGAGAGGTATTTCTGATTCAATTCGCACTCGAGATACACCACTTTCTTTTGATGAGTTGCATGAGATGTTATGTGATTATGAACAATATATCCAGCGTGATCAAGGTCTTCTTGCTACTCCATTGACTGCTAATATTGCTACTCTCAATTCTTTTACCTCTAGGGATAACATAACTTCCAAGTCCTATGTGTTGGGATATAATATTAACCGTACGGTTTAGACATAGTATTATATTTTATTCTTTATGGAACAATTGTTTATTTAATTTATTCAATTCAATAAAGTACTATTTTAAATAAATCATTTGTTACATGTGTGTCTTTTTAGTTATGTAGTAGACAATTTAGTGTATGGAGTCTTAGCTCGTGCACAGAAGATTAAATTGTTAGTTCTCATAATTAATAAACTATGTTCACAATCAAAGATATTATTTGACAAAATATCTTGATGATAGTAGACAATTTAGTGTATGGAGTCTTAGCTCGTGCACAGAAGATTAAATTGTTGGTTCTCATAATTAATAAACTATGTTCACAATCAAAGATATTATTGGACAAAATATCTTGATGATTGTAGCACAAGATTATCGTATAATTTTGTCTTGATTATGGGAGTAGTTTTACTTCAACTTTTTGTGCTAGTATACTCAGTGTATATTGAACGGATCAAGTAGAGAAAAGATGTTTTTGTACTGAATATATAAAACATTCTCTCTAATTCATTAAATGAGCTTATACTCCTAATCTTGATATAATTATTATGATCAATGTAATTTGTTTATTATTTTGATTTATCAAAAGGTACGACTCTATTTAGAGTTAGTATATGCCTAATAGATTGGACAATAACGAATAACATTTGTGAATAATATTTAGTTGATAGAATCCATGACTCGGTTTTGGGTTTGATGATACCCCTTTATATAAGCTTACAAGTTTTCATGTGAAAACTCGGCCGGTGGATTTTGTATCCGTCACATGAAATAGTTTAAGCGGAATTATAAAGTATTTAATTTGTTAATTGAATTAAATTTTCAGTGATTTAATTTAATTAACCGGTATTTGAAATCTTAACATGGGGAGTTAAAATAAGTGTTAATGAATTTCCGAAATTCATATTGAGGAGTTCAATTGCAGTTTTTTAGTGGAATAAATTGCAATTAATTATAATAAGAATTAATTCATGCTAATTTCGAATTAATACTATAATTAGTAGCCTCTTATTATTTCTGTGGTCCCTGCTATACCTAGTAAAAACCTGGACAGACTTGGGTAAAAAGTAGCTTGGGAGAAAAGTTATCCTTTTGAGTTAGAGTAGGATTCTACTTGCAGATCCTACACGTTTTTGAGCCCCTATTGTGGCTTAATTTCGGGTTTATTAAAGGAAGACTAGTTTCACCTAATAACTTACCTTTCAGTTGTATTGTTCTTGCCCACCCAATAGCAAAATCGTCCAAGGTTTTACTAGGCAAATAGCAGAAGACTGCAGCCCTGGATTCTTGCTGCTTGGAAGGTTTGTGCAACTACTTCAAGAGGTTAGTGCTTCTAATCTCGTTATTATTGCATTATCTAGTTCACATGTATTTGATGTCTGGTTTGTATGCTTGCTTCCGCTGCGTATGTTCTAACACTATGGTAATACCAGATCATACCAGAAGAATAACACTGGATCATATCAAAAGAATAATTCTAAGCCCCAGATGATCTGTCAATATTATGATAAACCAGGACATGTTGTCAAGCAATACAGAAAATTGAAGAATGCATTCCCTTGGCTAGCATCTTCCTCCATGGTTGATTCCGTTGATCCCAAGCCAATGGCCAATGTTGCAAATGCAACAGCTATGGGTAATTCAAATTGGCTACTTGACTCGGGTGCTTCTCATCACATTACGAGTGATCTAGAAAACCTTTCTCTTCACTCGGATTATACTGGTGATGATGTTATGATTGGCGATGGAAATAATTTAAAAGTCACACACTTTGGCTCTTCTCATCTTCCTACTCCTAAATGTCCTTTATATCTTTCCGATGTTCTTTGTGTTCCACAGATAAAGAAAAATCTACTTTCTGTTTATCAACTATGCAAAACGAATAATGTTTCTGTAGAATTCTCACCTTTTTCATATGTTGTGAAGGCCACCCAGTCCTGCATCCTCATACAACTGCTCTCATCCTCGGGCTCTTCATACTCAACTTTCTTCTGCTACAGCTTGGCACAATCGACTTGGTCATCCGTCTTCTCCTGTTTTAAGTCGCATTTTAAGTTCTTTAAATGTCTCTCCTAGAGTAGTCTCTTCCAAATTCTTTTGCAATTCTTGTAAATGCAATAAAATGCACAAATCTCCATTTGGTGTTTCATCAGTAAAATCATATTCTCTATTAGAATTTGTATATCTGATGTTTGGGGCCCTGCCCCTGTTTCCTCTATAGATGGTTTTCGATATTACATTATTTTTGTCGATCATTTTACCAAGTATATTTGGCTGTATCCAATGAAAAAGAAGTCTGATGTCTCTATTATATTTCCTAAATTCAAGGCTCTTGTTGAAAAGTTTTTCGCAACACCCATTGTCACTCTTTACTCAGATAATGGTGGTGAATATATTTATTTAAGAGACTTCTTCACCTCTCATGGCATTTCTCATTTTCTTACACCACCATATACACCGGAATACAATGGGACGGCAGAACGAAGACACTGTCATATAGTTGAAACCGGTATTACTTTACTTCATTTAGCTAAGCTACTGTTATCCTTTTGGTCTTATGCATTTCAGACTGTAGTGTATCTTATTAACAGACTTCCCACACTATTGCTTCATAATGATTCATCATACTTCCGTTTGTGCTCCAAATTATCATAAATTTTGGGTATTTGGTTGTCTTTGTTATCCCTGGTTGCGTCCTTATTCTCAAAATAAATTTGAGCCTCTATCTTCACCATGTATTTTCCTTGGATACTCTACAAATCAAAGTGCCTATATATGCTATGATCTTCAAAAGCACAAGATATATGTTTTCCGTCGTGTCAACTTTGTTGAGCATGAGTCTCCTTATTCTAAATCTCTTGTAATTGACAATCTTGTAGCTGATAACACTGTTCTCACTTGGGCTCCTCATTACATTATCCCATTGCCCACTGGCTCTACCAACTCTATGGCTCCTCCCAGTACTGGTGCATCTTCATCTCTTACTCCTTCATCATGTAAGGCTTTGGGAACTTCAAACAGTTATCAAGGTACAACTTCTCTTAGTTCTTCTTCTATTCTGTCTCCTGCTTCACCAGATTCATCAAGTGTACAGGAACATAGATCTCTTGCAGTAACAACTGTGGAACCAATGTCTCTATCCGATCCTATCTCCACTCACTCAATGCCGTCTTCATTGCCAATCTTTTCACCATTGGCATCAACTGGAACACCCGAACACATGGAAATTTCTGTTTCACCGGCTTTATCAACTGCTCCCCCTCCACCTCCTTCACAAAATTCTCATCACATGGTTACACGTTCATAGAACAATATACATAAGCCTCTCACCCAACTTTGTCTTTTGGCATTTGTAAATGCGTCTGGCCATCCTAATTTGCCTACACTTAAAAGTGAACCAAAGAGTGTGACTAATGCTCTTCAGGATGCTGATTGGTATGCTGCGATGCTTGCTGAGATCGCTGCTTTGAAAAACCAAGGCACTTGGACCCTTGTTCCTCGTCCCCCCGGTAAGAATATAGTTGGATCTAAATGGATATTCTGAGTGAAGCAAAATGCTGATGGCAGTCTTGACAAATGCAAGGCCCGTTTGGTTGCTCAAGGTTTCGCTCAACGGCCAGGTATTGATTATATTGAGACTTTCTCATCTGTTGCGAAACACACCACTGTTCGGGTCATTCTCTCTATTGCTGTCTCTCAAGGTTCGGTACTTTGTCAATTGGATGCTAACAATGCCTTCTTGCACGTTACCTTAACTGAAGAGGTATATATGGTACAACCTAAAGGGTTTATTGATACAAGTAGGCCAGATTATGTCTGTAAACTACACAAATCATTGTACGGTCTCAAGCAAGCCTCTCACGCTCGGTATTAAGAGTTGTCCGATTATTTATTAAGTTTGGGTTTCCAGGTGTGCTCCTCTGATAATTGCTTATTAATTTTCTCTGTTGCTGGGGTTGTTTTATACCTCATTGTCTATGTGGACGAAATGTGCCACTTTATGTAACGACCGATTTGGTGTGGTCGCGTCGTTACCTTGTCTTTTTCTCTCAATCTCACCCTTTATTATTATTAAATTATTTTATTTTATCATTTACCCTACCTTTTTATATAGTAATTTTACCTTGTATCATATTTTTTCTTTATAATATTGCAAGTTTATTGTTCATATTGCTGGTGCGTAATATAATGAAATGATGACAAACAACATAATCTATCCAAACATTGTATTTATCAAATGATACAGTACAATACAATACAGTACAATACGATACATTATGAAACGATGCATAACAATCATCCAAACAAGCTATAAATAAAACAATATTGTTCATTGATTATTTAGAGGAGAATCAGGAGTAGGAGTCTCGGACTTCGATGAAATATAAGAAGAGCCTTGCTTTCAGATTTTTTTTCTTCCAGCATCGACATCTTTAAACTTCTCAAAATCCTTCAACATATCTCACATATGATCAACATATTCGGATTAATATGTATAATGTATAATATTTGCTTATAATTTATATTATTTAAAAATTAAAGGTATAAAATAAGTTTATATTAAATGGTTATATAAGAAAGAAATATGAATTATATATGGGATAAATATGTAAAAAAAAAAAAGGATTTGTTTTCTTAAAGAAAATAATATACTAATATAGAAGAAAGAGAAGAATATAAAGGAATATTTTTTTTTTGATGCAAAAAGTAGTGTAATGGATTGGAGTTAATTAACTTCACCATTTTGATGTTTACACCATTTTGGTGTAAAATAATGGTGCTAAGGGTCGGAGATGATCACAGCTTGGGTGCTGGTATGTGTGTATGTGCATTTGCGACTGAAGTAGAGAACAAACTCATAAAGCTTATCCAATACTTCAGCGTTTGCATTATCAAGATTGAAGTATTACGAACATTTTGACTAGAACAAATGTACAACTTTAGTTTTCATATATTGCAAATTCCCAACTAAATACACCTATAGGCTATAGTAACCTACTACCATTGATTCTTTTCTATAAATCTACCAAGTACTACCTACGCCAACTGAGAAAGCGGTGGTTTCCGCCTTCCTCCGCCGTCTACAACCGTCCCACAACCTAACTACGTTGCCGTCAATTACTTTCATGTCCTGGCATCTATACCAACCCATTTCCCCATTTCTCATTTTCAATAAATTTTCCCAATTCTCAAACCACATTTCAACGGCGCCGTCTTCTCCGTCCTGATCACCGTCGTCTCCATCGACGTCACATTCTTCGCCGTCATCTTGCTTAAAATACACCGTTAGTTTCCCTTTTGTTCCTTCTTCTTTGTTCATAGAAACACCAGGGTACATCTCAGTAGTAACTGTTGAAGAAGGTTCTTTTGCTACCCTCTCAACCTGCGGTGATGATGAACATGATGGTACCGAGGTTGGCGGCGGTGGAGATGGAGATGGGGCACCGGAAAAGTCGCCACGTGGCTCCGGTAAGGGCAAAGTTGAAGAAGTTTTGATCCTCCAGAAGCTAACGGCGGCGGTAATAACGGCGACCCACGCCCAAACATTGTAGACGACAGTTAAGAAACCGAAGCTCAAGTAATTAAAAGCAAGAGCTTCGAGCGGATATTCCAATATTGTATTCATGTCTTTAACAAGGAGACTATAGCTAGAGTTGTTTTCGTTTTCTCTCTATGATAATGCAGAAAGTGGAGCGTAAAGAAGGGATTATATATATGGAAGTTGGGGGTGATGAACGTGAGCTAGCCGTGAAATAATTAAGGGAACAGTAAGAAGCATCTGAGATTAGATGCTGGGAATCGTGACCGAAGATGCTACTGAAAGATCCAAATTCCTATGGCTGTTGCTACATGTACCACGGGGTGGCAAACGGCCGCGTAAAAAATGAGTAATGTAAAAAACGGATAAATTATCAGACCCACCCATATTGAATATGAGCACTTTTGAAAAGATTCTCGGTCTCCCAAACTTAAGTAGCCAACCTCATTAGTTATTCATTTTCTAAGTGGATAATATAGTTCTTATCCATATTTGATCCGTTTTTAAAAAATTCATTATCCAACCTATAATTTAGTGGATAATATGGATGGATAACTATTTTTTATTCGTTTTTCCAACACCACGGATAATGAAGATATTTGGGTGCACGTGCACAGGTGGCCAAAAATTAAGTTTCATGAGTTCAAATCCATTGTATTTTAATGTTACGAGTTCTTATCTATCATTTATTACCACTTTAGTGAACTTTTTTTTTGCTTAAATTTGTACACCACGGTCAAAAAATACTAGTATAGTATATTAAGATGAACCTAGTGTTTTCAAAGTGCATCCGCCCCTGTGCACGTGTAAGGGCAGGACTCGTTGAAATGGACCAAATTGCACCAACTGACAACTAGAGACACTTGTTCAATTTGAGGATATGAATACACACTCGTTCACTATCACTCACCGCGTTTGAGAATGTAACCACAAGATCTCATATGACGGCGCCATCTCTCCGGATTGAATTGGAATGAAAAGTACGTAGTTGCTGCTCTTATTTATCTAAAAGAAAAAAAAACAAAGGAAAAAGGAGAACAAAAGGAAAGATCACATCAAAGAGCAGTTGCGTGAGTTAATAATAAGAAATGTTTGAATTTTTAATTTGGCTTCTTTAGTTGGATATTCGCATATTTACTCTTGGATTCAATTTCACTACTCCATTTGTTTAGCCATTTATCTTAAATGGGGTTGTTGCTACCATCATTACCAATATTGTATTATAACCAATTAAGTCCATCAAGGTTCCTGGAGAATATTGAGATTTTAATTACGTAACACATGTCTACTTGAGCACACTGTTATACATAATAATAATCGAGTTAATACCCTAAAATCATCCTAAACTATTATGTTTTTTGTCAGTTTCCTACTTAAACTATCCGGTGTCCCCAAAACACCCTTGAACTATATCTAACTAGTTACTAAAAATCCCTTCGTCGATTTTTTCTAGCTATGTATGATGCATGCTCCCAATTAACTTTAAACTGTAAGTTTACAACACGTGGCTACTTATAGCCTGTTTGGCCAAGCTTCTCAAGAGGCCAAAAGTGCTTTTTTTTTCAAAAGCACTTTTTTTTCCTAACTTGAGATGCTTGAGCAAGCTTATTTGGGAAAAAAAGTGCTTTTGGGAAGAAGCAGAAGCAGAAAAAAGTAGCTTCTTTCCAAAAGCAGAAGCAGAAGCAGTTTTGGCTTTTCTTCTTACCTAAAATACCCTTAACAAAATATAGTATATACCAAAATAACCTTTAAACCTAATGCTTAGGACATTAATTTATAAATATTTCTTCTTATTTTTAGGAAAATTTTCTAATATATGGTGACTTCAGGGGTGAATGCTTTTATAATTGTTGAAGGAATTTTAATATATTTAACTTATGTTAAAAGAATTAAGTACTTTTAAATTTTATTTTCATATTTTACTTAAATAAAATGAATTTTTTTAATTATTGCATGTAATAACAAAAATTTGAGATTATTTATTTACTTATAATATTAATTATTAAGTAAATCTATTCATGTCCTTATTCGTAATTTGACACTTAAAAGCACTTTCTAAAAAGCTTGGTCAAACACAAATTATTTCTCAAAAGTGCTTTTCATACTAATTAGCCAAACACAAATTGCTTCTCTCCAAAAGTACTTTTTTCAAAAGCACTTTTGAAAAAAGCACTTCTCAAAATAAGCTGATTTCTCTAGCTTGGCCAAACAGGCTATTAGTCAAGCATAATTTAATTATTATTTTACTTAATAATTTGAACTAATAGTCAAAAATAAAAAATGGGTAAAAGCCTTTGTTCTTCCATCTCCTCCAACAATGGTTACCCCTTCTATCAATCTAGATTTTCACCATTAACCTTTGATTTCACTGTAGTTTTTTCACGCTAACCTTTGATTTCACTATAGTTTTTGGTTTAGCCAGAGATTTGGGATTTAAAACGGCTAGGTTTTGACAAGAGAAGTTATAGAGAAATAAATAAAGAAAAAATGAAGAAGAAAGGTAATTTCAGAAGAAATAAGAGAAGAGAAAAGTTTCAAATGGAACCCATAATAATAAGGAGAAAGGAAGAAGAAAGGTAAAAATATATGAAAAAAGCGGGTAAAAATAAAGAAAAAAAATTTGGAATAAAAAGAAAATAGAAAGGAAAAAGAAATTGAATATCTTAATGCTAATTAGCNAAAAAATGAAAAAAGTGGGTAAAAATAAAGAAAAAAATCTGGAATAAAAAGAAAATAGAAAGGAAAAAGAAATTGAATATCTTAACGCTAATTAGCCGTTAGAAGCAGGCCAGGTGGAGCCATTTTATGGATAATTTCATCTTCCACGCGCCTTTAAACGAGTTATTTCACACATTTTGCCAAAAAAGTAACGAGGGGGCTTTTAATAACTACAGAGATATCGTTCAAGGGGATTACAGGGACACCGAATAAATTAAGTAGGAAACTGACAAAACGTAATAGTTTAGGGAGATTTTAGGGTATTAACTCAATAATAATCCTGTTTTAGTATATACTTATATATATGTCATATTTGAGTGATCCAATGCTGTTTTAAGTTTATTCAGCTGATAAATTAGAATCAGCATTGGCAGGACTTAGTTGATCAATCCAACTATATTCTGTGAAGAAACTACACGTATACTTGCAGTCATCAGACAATATTTAAAATCTTAAGTATTAATCTATTTTTGCATTACTATCTGTTTTCTCTTTAAATCTTGTGGCAGACAAGACTGGACCGTGCAGCTTTTTAACTTTATATGTAGTTAGTACATTGAATTCGGGCTGTTCTAATTTTACCCGTAACCATTCTTACTGTACTTTGAAAACAGCTTAATTATAAGAACACAGAACATGCATTAATTTAGATATGCATTGTAATGTTGATATATTTCCATGTTATCTTTGTTAAGTGTTTGTCATAATTTTCTTACCATATTTGATTTCTATTTGTTGAAGGAAAGAACAATATGTTTACCTTAATTGGATTTTTCTTCTTGTAGAAGGAAATTATAAATCTCTCATATTTAGCTAGTCCTTTTTCTGGTAAGAAAAGGTTTGGACTTCTATAAATTGAGGATCCTTCTTTCTCATTCAGTAGCCTCCACAATGTAGTCATATGGGGTTTGAGAGTCGTATTTAGGGGGAGAACTTTACGGGACAAGTGTAGTGTGTCACTTGTGTTTGCCTGTTCGTGAGGTTTTTCTCTCGATATTTTGTACTCTCTTTTTATATAGTAGATTGCCCATCTCCGTCGTGGACGTAGGTCAGTTGACCGAACCACGTTAAATGTTTGTGTCTCTTTGGTATATTTCTCTTTGTTGTCTGATTTATCGTCACTCAAGGTTTGCTTTGCTAGCTTCCGCATGACACCTTCCTTTTTCGGTCCTAACAAGTGGTATCAGAGCGAGGTTCAAACAAGTTCATCTGGCGGGTTCAGTTCTAGCTGCAACATATTTGACGATAATCATGATTTTGTCTGAGAAATTTGACTGGTGTGCTACGCACGTTGAGACAAACTTTGTGGTGGAGATTTGGAGATGCGACCTGTTGAATGCTATGTGAAGAAAGTGAATCAAGTTTATTTTGTCAGAAAATTCAGGCCAAAGGGGAGAATTGTTAGGTGTTTGCTCCACCTCCAATTGTGAAAACATATCCACTTGTGGATTTAACTTCAGAAAATACGTTAATCCAATTTGCATCCAATGTTTTATCCCTCGATATCCCTCGATCACGAAGGGATATTTGTTTATAATGCCTCATAATCTTGGGTATATTTCAGATACCCCAAAACTCGTTTCATTGTCATCCAATGTATTTGATTGGGATTATTTGTAAATAGACTCAGTTTGCTAATAGCACATACTATATCTGTTCGTGTACAATTCATAATATAAATCAAACTTTCCAATACTCTTGCATAGTCCAGTTGTGAGTCACTTTCACCTTCATTCTTTTGAATTGCATAACTCACGTCAGTTGGAGTCTTGGCAAGCTTGAAATCAAAATACTTGAACTTGTCAAGTATTTTTTCAATGTAGTGAGACAGTGATATGCTAGACCTTGTGGAGTCTTGTGAATTCTGATTCCTAGGATCATGTCAGTAACTCCTAAGTCCTTCATGTCGAATTTGCTAGCTAGCATACACTTAGCAGCATTTATATCTGTTATATTTTTGCTCATTATCAACATGTCATTAATATATAAACAAACAATGACTTCATGACCTGGAGTGTTTTTAATGTAAACACATTTGTCACACTCATTGATTTTAAACCCACTTGCCGACATTGTTTGGTCAAATTTGGTATACCATTGTTTGGGTACTTGTTTAAGTCCATAAAGCGACTTAACAAGTTTGCACACTTTATTTCTTTATCCAGAACCACAAAACCCTCAAATTATTTCATGTAAATTTCTTCCTCCAATTCTCCATTTAAGAAAGATGTTTTAACATTCATTTGATGGATTTCAAGACTATACATGACCGCCAATGTCGCTAACAACCTAATAGATGTTATTCTTGTTACTGGCGAGTAAATGTCAAAGTAACTTAGGCCTTCCTTTTGTCTATAACCTTTGATAAC